ATACTGAATATTTGATGTTCAAAAGTTAGATTTGTGGAAGATCCCTTTTCCAAAAGATGAGTTCTCAAAAATTCAGGTAAAGGCTGCTGCATGACGAAGGCGCACAAGCACTATTAGTTGAACGTACGCGAACGCTGTGCGCGCGTATCTTCGCCGTTGTAAATCTTGCGCCTCATGCGCTCTGCGGTTAATGAAACCGCGTACGCACCCAAAGATATTGCGCCTTCGTCATGCAGCAGCGTATAAGTCAATTTTGTAAAAATTGGCCACTTACCCAAGAGAAGCTATGAATCTCAGCGAGATTAGTGCAGATAGATATTGAATTAGTAGCTCATGTGTAGCGGCTTACATAACTTGCCTTTTTGTGAGTGCACTCAAATTTCGATACTATATGGGTAACCAGTGCGTCATGCATCGCAGAAGTTCCACAGTGGAAGGAGTATACTGTGTGAAGTATAAGTGCTGGAGTATGGAGTACTGGCAACTGTATGCCTTATTCGTGCTCTTTCAATGGCAGCTTTACAACTCACCGCGCAATGCTGATCATCACGAATAATTTGTAAACAACCAACCATTCCAGCTTTTTTTATCTAACAATAAAATCGGTAGCTTTGAGAGAAATCTCCGTGCAGAAAAATGAATGCAAATTTGTTCCAGATACTGTACTTATCATTTCTTGGAAGACACCATAAAGGACAGTGAACACTTCGTAGTACATGTCTGAGTAAGCTTTTCATTTTATTAGGTAGGACCTTGACAAAGCGAGATACGATTGTTTGAGTATCTGAACAGATGCATATTCGATCATCGTGAGTATTCAATCATTCGAGTAGTTGAACTTGACTAACTCCATCTATTCGAATATTCGTTTATTCCAATTCAAAAACTTAGCATTATTTGAATTTGCAAGCTCAAGTAATTTGAAAATTGCAGATCTACCAATATTCGTTCGTTCGAATGTTTTCGTGTCGATTACTCGATGTTCGTTTGACAAAATTTTGCGGTCGTCACAACCTTACCGATTTTTGCGGTTGACTATACGATGGGAAGTTAGCGTTGGAATAATCATAACCACGAAGGATGGAGATCGCACAACTGATTGCGTTCAAATCAGGGTTTACTAGAGCTAATAACAATCTCTGGGCTTTTGCTGAATTATCGTTGAGACATTGGTATATATGCGTACTGCACACCATGTGCGCTATCTAAAGAACTCCAAAATTAAACCCTGCTTTTTTCCAATAATTCTTTAATTCACTGTCCCTTTTGTTTCTTTTGGATATATTAGGTTGTCCCGAAAGTTTTGTTTATAATGGTTTTATAATGGTTTTTTCAGACCATTATAAAACCACGCACAACGAAGACCTAAGTGAGTTTCAACATGCATTCGATGCAGCTTTTCCTTCTCTTTCTTATGGTTATATTTAAGAGCCAAGATCCTGTGTGGATATTTTGATAATTGCCGCAAATCTCCACTCGTCATTTTTATCTGCTCAAAATTAGGCGAATTTTTAAAAATTCATTTCAAAGTTTTGGGAAGGACTAAGCATGGCACAAATAGAACAATTCTTGGGATGAACGGTAAAATTTTTAGATTCTCCTAAATTGCTGTTTCTAGCTTTAGAGAGTCATTTTGTCGGAGGTCTCGATTTCTGACAAAACCATGGAACACGCAACGCGGCAAAAACATGAAAGCTTTTAACACTTTTGCGAATTGAAACTTGATTACTAATAAACATTATTTAGCAACATAACCAACTTTAATTTGCTTTGAAAAATCAGCTTTTTGGAATTTTCGGCAATTTTACGTGGCAGAGGTAATCAAAAAGCCGTGGTTTTTCTTAAATAAATAATTATTTAAGACTTGATCAACGTGACCCATGTAATCTAAAATAAGTATAATGTAGCCGAAGAATGGCTCTACATAATAGTTATTAACGCTTTTTACAAGTAGTAGGAGAAAAATTTTTAAAATTCAGAAAAGATTTAGCGTACCGACAAAACTTTCGGGACAACCTTATATGTTAATATTCTAGGGTTTTTTAGGCTAGAAAAGGTTTCACTGAAAAATTACTGGCAAGGGTGCCGTCACTTCTCGCGCAGAGTGTGCACTTTTACATGTTAAGTTGCAGATGACGCGAGAATATCTACCCCAGGCAAAACATGAAATTTTAATTCTATTACGAGCCTGAACATACCTACAAGTTCCTAGTAATATCTAGCTTAACATAAGAGAAGATATCTACAACGTGCTGATCTTTTGTTTCGTAGGAATTTCATGAGCATGCGCAATACTTGATCCGTTTGGTCCGCTTCGTCCGTTCCATCCCACTTCGCCATTGGCCAGTTTGCTCTGACCAATACCGAAGTGTATGAAGCGGTTCGAGCGGATTAAGCGTATCAGGTATAGCTCGTGTCATGCAGCAGTTTTTGATGTATCAGGATTGCGTCATACTAGCACAGCGCAGTATGTTTTTATTCACTGATAAGAGGCATAGTCCTTATTACTTCTAGCCTGAAAAAGTGTTTAAATCACGATCGCTTGCTTTTGCAGCATCTTGAAACTTCTAGTTCGACAGCTTCAAAATCGAATGAACCACAAAGTTGAATATGTTGAAATTCAAGAAACAAGAGAGATATCGAAGTGTAAACATCAAGGCGCAGATTTCAATTTTAAACAACAAATTGACAAGATTTTGATGATAAGTCCATAAGGTGGGGTCAGCGCAGTAAGGAGTCAGCCTTGCTGCTAGAGCGTTATGAGTGACCAAGAGAATTTGGAGCACAGAACAGAAGGCTTTTGATCATGTAGCGCATTGCTGGAAAGCTTAGTGCTAATTCTGAATATCAAAACTAGATTTTGGTAAGGAAAGTGGAAACAAAGTGAAAGCGATTCTTTATTTCACGCTATGTGGTATTTACCTCTACGCCGGTCATTTAAGCAAAGTACGAGAAAAAAGGGTTTTGCAGGGTTTTGTCAATTTTATGAGAGCAAAGATTCCAGTATTTGTTCTGAAATTTTTTGAAAGGAGAGTTGACTTGTTAATTTGGTCCTTTCGGCGTAAGATTGCCGCTTGTTATGAAAAGGGTCCGAAGCTTAGCTTTATAAGGCGCAGTCCGCTGATTCTAGACATCCAAATTTAAAGATAGGATGAAGCTGAAGAAAATTATCGCAACGCTACACTCTCCATGCAACTATGGGTTTGATCGCTAATGGTAATCAAATAATATGGGCAAGAGACAATCTAGGGAAAATCTGAAACTTATACTTCAAAAAAAATTCGAAACTAAACTAAAATAAACATTAACTCAAAACCTAACTTTTATCTGGGCTAGGATCAATGTAGCTTGAAGTTTATGGCGAGTAATTGTCTAAACACTAAAGATCGCTCCTGAAATGCATCGTTAGATGCTTTGATGAGATAACTCCAAACCTACCTTTCCTTTCGTTTCTCCTGAATACTCATTCAGAAGAAGCTGTCATCCTCAATTTTCAGTGCCATGTATTCATGGTAAGCTGTCAAAGAACAATTCATTCTTAGGCCCCGGACAGACTTCACGCGATTTGATCGTCGCGACTGAATCGCGACGAGACAACTGTTACAACATCATTCCATACCGATCAACTTGCATTTCGGTTGTGATACTTTTCCAGCCTGAAATTTTTGAATCTGAAATGAAATGAATGGAAATGGTGGCGATTGAGTCGCGACGATCAAGTCGCGTGAAGTCTGTTCGGGGCCTTAGATAGGTGGCTACCCTTTCCTCTTTCTACTAACAAGGGAATGGTTAGATAACGAAGTGGCTAATCCAGACAAGCTGCATACTGTTAGATGCAGCATGAAGCGCTGACTCTAAATTCTTTTTTATCTGCTTATCCTTTTCTGGACAAAGCTATAAGCCATTAAAGACCATTATTTTGCTAAGAAATTATGCTTGAAAGTGAAAATTTGGCCGTACAGAACCACGTTCAACTTGATGCTGGGCCAAAACATGCAGCTAACTTACTTCAAACTCTCAAAGGCCTAAAGCTGAGCTGAAATTGCAATAATGTGCTCCATTTCACAGTTTTTGGGTGCGATTTTTTTACAATAAAACCGCTTGTAGCTTCGTCCACGGAAGCGATAAGCAGATAAGGAAGACAGATTCGAAGTCAGCATTTCATACTGCATCGAAAGGTATACAGCTTGTTTGGCTTGGCCACTTCGACTTCTAACCATTCCCTTGTAAGATATCTTAACCAGGGTCTCCAGAGGTAAATTTTAAAGCACGTCATTTATAGCAATTGTATGGGTTTACGCAAAGCACATTTCCTACTGAAGAATCGTTCACGGGATGCGAAAGGTAAATCTAGAGGGAAGAGATCACAAGTCTCAGTGGCACTATGGAATGAGTTGCATATCATTACTAGATGCGTCTTGCTGATAAAGCCATGTTTGGTCAAAGTGGCCTTACAAAATAAGATTTACACTACATATATTAGAGAGCATAAAGCGCTGTTCTAAATCTACCTTCCTTATCTGGAGAACGTTAATGGACGAGAAGTTATAAACTTTTATTGGAGCAAAAAAATACATGTGCAAATAGGATAAAAATGTCGTGATATTTTTTCTAGGGCCTTAATATAGCCGTGATAATTACCAAAGCAACTTAATCGATGAATACTCTTAGATGAAAAAATATATCACTTTTAGTTGCTTCACTTAAGGACTAGGAAGTTTTTAGCATCTCTTTTGACCCAAATTCAATCAATTTTTTGCTCTAATAGACCCTCACAACTCCTCGCCCACAAACATTGAGCAAATGAGGATTGCAGATCTGGGATCAGAGTTTTCTGCTCTTCAATATGGTATACATTACATCTAAGAAGGCCATTTCGACTAAACATGCTTCCCTTGTGAGCTAGTAAGAAACGGAGAATGACAAATGGATTATTTGCTTCAATAATGCATTTTGCCAACAATTTGCACGTATTTATTAAGTTCAAGAAGTGTGAAGGTATCGTCTCAAATTTACACCGCTTTGCAAGTGTCATATCACCACCTGTGCCCTGAAGATCAACATCACGACTGTTAGGACTGAATAAAGAGCTTTTCAGTTACCTGGACCGAATCGCGGTCCAGGTCCTGGTGGTGGCGGCATTGGCGGTCTATATGGCATTCCAAACCCATGTCTGTGTCGCCACATTCTTTTCCACCCTCTTCCTCCAAATCTTCCTGGTGGCCCCATTCTCGGTCCGAATGGTCCATGCATTCTTGGCGGTGGCGGTGGTGGCGGTAGAGCCGATGCAAATTCTGGCGGTAGCAGTCCGCTTTCAAGATTATGTCAAGGAAATAAACTACCTTACCTTGCCCAAATGTGGAATAGGCAAGAAAAACAAGTGCGACGAACTCAAGCAACATTGATAGACTTCTGGAGAAACGTGGGAATTTTTTGCACATTTCGGAAACAGAGGCCTTTCCAAAGTTTAGGCTGAACAATGCTGTCTCGGCTTACGGTGGTGCTTATATTGACGATGGTTACAATACATTCATTACAATGCAAACAAGGCCATCAAATGCCTTCGCAGCTTCAATGTCTGAAAAATATTCGCATCTTGGCAGTTTTATATTTGTGATACTCATAACCAATGTGAGCGAAAACCATAACATTTTTTATATTTTCATCAGGCTTTTTACCGCAGGAAAGATAATATACATCTTTCTTTCATCATCTTTTACATCTTTCCACAAAGAAGATATCTGCAGATTCAGGGTTTGAATTTTAGATGACTACAATATACATTCCTTTTGAATGGCATGAATTATCCCCATTACGCTGTTAGCTATAAGTTTGTTCTCATCATAAGTCTTGGCACCTTTCTCACCTCTTTGTGCAATGCAGAGGTCGGTACCAATGGGAACCGGAAGGTACACTACTTTTCAAGAAAAGAAATAAAGGAGTAGACAGCATAGCTTATCTCAGTGATTGCTGAACCAAGCATCAAATCCTTGATGAATTTCATATCGTGGGAGTCGAAGGATGCCTGTTGATGCGGGTTTCATCAGAATTTTTTACTGCATTCAAAATATCTAGGTATCCGTTTTTGAGCAACATTCGTAGCCCGTGGAAAAGTTGTTGTCTATTGTTTTGCGTATGATTAGAGAATGTTGCAGAATTTAAAAACGTGATCAACAGTCAAAGGCTTTAGCATCCGCTCAATGTTAAACATAGTTGAGCAATTAGGTATATGTGTAGAATGAAGCAACGGTCCTCGTTGCCTTTGCTTCCACTGGTCGAAATTCAAAGAATCAAAACTATTTTGATGATCATTAACCATATTTTTTGTGATAAAACCCATTAGCGAAAAGAGAAAATTAAATTTTAAGGAAAAAATATGCTGTTTATTTCAGTAATGTAAAAATGAATGTAAGGGTCAGTAGTGGTCGCAGAATTTCCATCCGGGGGGGGGGGGGGGGAGGAGGAGAGTAAAAATCTCGTTCAAATGGAGGCGCATATCGTTAGCCACGCACTTCAAAAATTTTGGGGTGCTTCTCAAAATCTTAAGGGCCATAACCCTTAAAGGCACCGTCCACCCAAAATTTCGACCTCCATGTTTTTGCCGTTCCAGGGCCTTCTCATACCTCTGACTCCGAATATCAAGTCGAAATTTCGCGAAAACCACAAAAAACCCCCGTTTTCAGAACCCGCAGAGCGATTTCTTCGGAACGGTGATTGGTTGGACACGCACGGATGGGCGGGACGAACGTCACGCCCACTCAAAGGGGAGGAGCCAACGTGGCGAATCTGTCATCCGAGCGATTTTTGAAGCAATTTTCTCGCTTCGGAAGCAACTTTTGCCAGCGCGAGTTGGATTAGTATACAGTTGAGGGGCCAACTTACTGTTAAGCATCAAGATCTCATCGACCCCATTTTGGGTGGACGGTGCCTTTAAACTCTAGAAAAGGGTTACAAAGCTGATTTGAAATTCTAGAAAATTTTAAAAATAATTTCAATCATTTACAAGAATAAACGAGTCACTTACACATTTTTGTGGCCTATGGAAAATATTTCAAAAATTTCGAGACCCATTCTCGGGGAGGAAGCCCCCCCCCCCAGCCCCCTTTGTCCGCCATTCGTAAGAGGTGTACGATCCGTAATATTTCCCGCTGTTCAAGGTTAATGACCAGAACTTCGACACTGAATCCATTCCAAAGTTCTTCCTTAGGCACAAAAATGCTTCTCCTCTTCAATCAATTTTCCGCTTTGAAAGGCAACAAAAGTAACTTGAATGCTTCAATTTCTTTGAACCCGAGCATTGTTTATAACCCCCAATTCTACTTGTGCCGAACAGGTTTTATTCGAATGGCCTAACGTTTCGGCGCTTCCGCCGTCCTTAAAGGCTCAAAAACAATAACGAACTTGCGAACTATTCCCGGATTCGCGGGCTAGCTATGGGCCAGAGGCCAGGACCAATTCCTGAAATTTGTTTTATTTATCAACTTGAGAAACCTGTGCTAAGTGGAACGCCATTTACCGTCTGTACATCCACTACTGCTGTTTAGTGACTAGAACACAGTCCGAAATAAACAAATGTTTTAGTATCCTTAGCTTACAGTCCGAGTAATCAAACTAGCGCGCGAAAAACCACGAAAAGAATTGCTACCCGATTTAAGGCCAGAGTCAGCCTGGCTAACTAGAGCAGTATGCCTGACAAAAAATGTTTGGACCACAAAACGAAGAAGTTCGTGACTAGTAATTCTAAACGCACTGTTAGGAAGCCAGGGTTAATTCTGTATATCAAAACTACAGTTCAGTTAGAAAAGTGTGAACAAAGTTACAACAATTCTTCATTCCACGCTAAGTGGCATTATGCTGGCCATGTAAGAAAAGTAACAGAAAAAAGGGTTCTGCAGGGTTTTAGCAATTTTATGGGGGCAAAAATTCCAGTATTTGATTTGGATTTTTGTGAAAGAATAGTCACTTGTTAATGTTCCTTTCGGTGCAAGATTGTGTTAACATTGCCGCTGGTTATGGAAGGGGGCGGAAACCAAGGTTAATGAAGAGCTAACTCCGCTGAGCAACGCTGCACTCTCAACCATGGGTTTGATTGCCAATGGTAATCAAACAATATGGGCAAGAAACAATCTAGGAAAAATCTGAAACTTATACTTCAAAAAAAATTTGAAACTAAACTAAAGTGAACTTTAACTCAAAAGTCAACTTTTATCTGAGCTAGGATCAATGGGGCTTGAATTTCATGGTGAGTAATTGTCTAAATACTAAAAATCGCTCATGTAATCGTTAGATTGTCGTTAGATGCTTTTGATGAGATAACTCTAATTCTACCTTTACCTTTGTTCTCCTGAACACTCATTCCGAAGAAGCTGTCAAAATCCTGAATCAGTGCCATGCGTTCATGGTACATATAGCTGGCAAAGAACATTCATTTTTTGGTAGATGCTATTCTTTCCTCTTTCTATTGAGATATCTTAACCAGGGTCCCAGGAGTTTTTTAAAGCACGTCATTAATAACAACTTAATGGGTTTACGCAAAGCTTTCCTCCTGGAGAATGGTTCACGGCATACCTTCGATAGTCAAGAGAAAGAACCTAAAAGGTGATAGTTATTTGAGTTCCTGCCCCTCATGAAAAGTGAAGGTTGTTTCAGAAATATAGATAGAAATTTAAAGATATGAATCAAACCAGGAAATTCGAAAAATTCATATAAGGCAGAGGTTGGCACATCACCAAATTGAAAACTTAACTTGGTCCTATCTTAGGCACAGTTTCCTCTACAGAATCGCCGGTTAGATTGGGTGGCAACAAGAACAAAGTTCTTTTCCAGTTTAAAAAAGCGCTGTTTAGCTGTGGTGGTAGTTGGGAGACTGAAAAAAGGAAAACATTTCAACAACTGAATTGAACATGTTAAACACGTCAGAAAAGATATGTTGAACATCGACGCCAATCTGATTTTTGATGCGTCCTTTAAATTTTCACCCCCGCATAGTCGTTTCGTACCCTGCGACATTGCCTGGATTTTTCTGCTCATCATTCTGAGCAAGTATCGTCCAAGCTGGAGAAAATCCGTTGGGAGAGCACAAAAAGAGAACAAGGAAGATAAATGCACTTTTCAGTAATTTTCGCAAAAAACCTGCATTAACAAAGAAGTAAGCTCGGCGACGTTGTCTACATCATAGACAGGAAAAAGACTATTCAATACACAAAAAAACGAGTGAAAAGAGTAAATTGAGGAAAAAACAAGAGGTTTTTGAAAAGGCCGTTTTTTCAAGATTTCTTTTTTAAATCATAAAAAGGAGTCTTGCGACATTATTAGCGTGAAAATAGAGATCAAGAGCTTTAATACGATATATGAAATGTCGTAATTGGGCTCGGAACAACGAAGAAAAGGGTACCAGAGCCAAATGCCCCGCGCCCCTCTTTTGGGGTAGCGAGGTAGCGCGCAGCGCGCGGAGACGCAGACGAGCAGCGGCGACAGACCAGAACCGGCGGGGCGTTTGGCTCTGGTCATTGATCTCCGCGGGGTCATAACAAAACCCTATAACATTATATATCGTTGTGATCCTCATGAGACGGCTAGGAGCACTGATAACGTGGCGGGTCTTGAAAAACACTCCATAACGACTTAGACCAGCATTTGTGTGGCGACCCTCTGCGCAAAATTTGAGCGCAGTTTCTCGTTTTTATTGAACTCCAGCGGCTTTCGTTAACTTCCAACGCTCAATCGCAGTTTCGAGAAAGGTCAATTGAGAAATTTTGTCCTAGTTTTTAGTTGAATTTTTGAATAACAACATTCTTTTCAGCAAAACGGCCATAGAAAGGTGATCCGTTGGTTTCTTAGCTTTCTTGAATGTCACTACTATATTTGCCTCATTCACATTTGTCCCTATATGGTTATGTCGTTAGTTATGTCATTAATATCCGAGGTTTCGCCCCGGAGACTTCTGTACTTCTCTCCAGGTGAAGGTTGTGTTCTATCATGACGCTCAAAGTGAAGGTCACCAGAGTTCATGGCTTTATGTATCGAAGGTATGGTTCAAGCTAAATTTAGAGGGGAGGGATCACAAGTCACAGTGGCACTCTGGAATCCTCTGCATATCAGACGCGTCCTGCAGAAAGGGAAGGAACATGTTTGTCAAAGTGGCCTTTAAAAATAGGATTTGTACCATATTAAAGATCATAAAGCGCTGATTCCATATCTGCCTTCCTTATCTGCGGAACGTTTATGGATGAGAAGTTATAAACTTTTATTGGAGCAAAAAATTACAAATGCAAATAAGATAAAAATGTTGTGATTTTTTTGCTAGTGCCTTAATATAGCAGTGATAATTACCAAAGCAACTTATTCAATGAATACTCTTAGATGAGAAAATATATCACTTTTGGATGCTTTAGTTAAAGACTAGGAAGTTTTTAGCTCTCTTTTAGCCTAAATTCACATCAATTTTTTGCTCTAATAGACCCTCATAATTACTCGTCCACAAGCATTGCGCAAATGAGGATTGCAGATCTGGGATCAGAGTTTTATGCTTTTTACTATGGTATACATTACATGTAATAGGGCAACTTCGACTAAACATGCTTCCCTTGTAAGTTGGTGAGAAACGGAGAATGACAAATGGATTATCTGCCTCAATAACATTTGCCTTTTGCCCATAATTTGCATGTATTTATTGAGTCCAAGATTTGTGAATGTATCATCTCAAATTTACACCGCTTTGCAAGTGTCATGTCACCACCTGTGCCCTGAAGATCAACATCACAGCTGTTAAGATTGAATCAATAGCTTTTCAATCACCTGGACCGAATCGCGGTCTGAAGAATTCCGGTGGTGGTGGCATTGGCGGTCCACCTAATTCCGGTGGTGGTGGCATTGGCGGTCCACCTAATTCCGGTGGTGGTGGCATTGGTCCACCTAATTCCGGTGGTGGTGGCATTGGCGGTCCACCTAATTCTGGTGGTGGCGGCATTGGCGGTCTATACGGCATTCCAAATTCATGTCTGTGTCGCCGCATTCCGCACCCTCTTCCTCCAAATCTTCCTGGTCCTCGTAACATTCCTGGCCCCATTTCGGGGCCGAATGGTCCATGTGGCCTCCATGGCGGCGGCGGTGGTGGTTGTTCAGCCAATGGAGATTCTGACGGTGGCAGTCCGCTTCCAGGATTGTCTCAAAGAAAAAACTACCTTACCTTGCCCAAATGTGGAATAGGTAAAAACAACAAGCGCCACAAACTCAAACAACATTGATAGACTTCTGGAGAAACGTGGGACTTTTTGCACTTTTCGGAAACACAGGCCTTTCCAGAGTTTAGGCTGGACAATGCTGCCTCGACTTACAGTGGTGCTTATATTGACGTGCTGGTTACAATACACCCATCACAATGCAAACAAGGCCATCAAAAGCTTCGCAGCTTCAATGTCTCAAAAACATTGCATCTTGGCTTTTTTATATTTGTAGTACTCATAACCGATGTGATTGAAAAACCATAAAAGCTTTTTGTATTTTCATCAGGCTTTTTGCCGCAGAAAAGATATATTATATATCAACCCTCCCCCCTCCCAAAAAGATACCTGCAGAATCAGGGTTTGAATTTTAGATGACTACAATATATTTCTTTTTAATGGTATGAATTATTCCACTACGGTCTTAGCTACAAGTTTGTTCGAATCATAAGTCTTGTAAACACCTTTTTCACCTCTCTATTCCGTGCAGAAGTTAGTAGCAATGGGAAAGGAAGAAATGTTTGGAATTCAAAATAAGTGAACGATTTTTCGAAAAAAAAGAAATAAAGGTGTAGACAACATAGCTTGTCTCATTGACTGTTTGCTGAACCAAGCATCAAATCCTTAATGAATTTCATTATTGTGGAATCGAAAGATGCCCGTTAATGCGAGTTTTATCAAAATTTTACCACTTTCAAAATACCTTGGTACCCGCTTTCAAGCACATTATGGAATAATGTGCTTTTGTCTATTTTGCGTATGAGTGGAATGTTGGAATTTATGAACTTAACCAACAAGTGGAATTTATGAACTTAACCAACTAGTCAAAGGCTTCAGCTTTTTTCGCAGTCGCATTTTTCGTAACCGTCTACCAAACTGAGAGTGATGAGATTCTAATGCTATATAATAGCGAGGACCCTGACTAAGCTCGCCTATGTGTCACAGAAGAAATATTTCCAAGCGAAAAAACCGCTCCAGAAAGTGTAAGCGACCACGCTGGTTGCGTCCTTCAGCTCGGATGGTCTGAAGACGATATGTTCAAAACTGGCTACAATTAATTAGAATATCCTAAATTCGCCTTTCATTATGATCATCAAATATGCAGCTTTTCTGTCTACCCTGAAGCTTTTCGGACTTACATTTTGCAAATCTGCATTGGGCGGGACCATTGTGGCCCTTACCATTCCACCTTCTGGAGCGGCTTTTTTTGAAATCATTATTTTTGCAGCAAGAGTTGAGCAACTGCTTACTTAGGGACCCCCCTATAAATTAATATCGAAGCCTCATTGCCACCAATTTGAGAGGGTGCCTTTAAAGGTAGAGCCACCCAAAATCTGCTGACCCCAGATTACAACTTTTCATCCTACTAGGCTCTAAAAGTAGACCAACCGCATCGGTCCGGTTCCCTAATGTTGCCTACAAAAGGAGAAAACGGACCAAATCCTGTTTGCGCTCCGCCCCTTTTTTGCGCTAGTCCCACCCACGGATTGCTAAGTAACGTGTTCTGACGTGACAAGCAACGGCGAGACGCATAGTTTGTGATGTGGCACTTTGCACACGACGGATTCCTGTAGCATACGACGTGACTAACGCCGAGGCACTCGTCCACGTCTGCCAAATTAAGGCTTCAGGAAGGGGCAATTTTAAAGTTTCCGATGATTTGAGCTTCATATCCCTAATCAGCGTCATGGAAAGACCCGATAACAATAAAACGTTGAAGACGAAATTTTGGGTGTACGCTGCCTTCAAGAGCTGAAACTTTTGCACATGAGTTGTTGCTTGGTATTGGATAAAAGCTTAGTAAAGTCCCAATGTGTAAGTACAAGCCAAAACGTACCCAAAAGTTCTTCATAAAACATTTTCGTTCTGCTGGTTAAGAAGCTGTATTACTTCGAGTATTTGGCAACACGGATAGACCATGAACTGCGGGGCATGCAACGCGGCTAAACGCTTGTACTAGTACAAAGCGTCATTTTACCCTTAGATTCAATTGGCTTGGCGGCTGGATGGCGGGGCTTCGTGACCTAATCAAGGCTAAGTAGCGATCAGAGGGCACGCGCGCCCGGAGAGACACAGAATGCGTCGTGGGTGCGAGCGGCTTTAATTGGGTCACAAAGCCGGCCTTCCAGCCGCCAAGCTTGTTGAATCAAAGGTATTGCCTGCTCTTTTTTGGTTCAATAATGATTTCATTTCGAATTCCTAATGATCAGGATGGCGTCATACTAGCCACCAGCATGTTTTGATTTAACGAGTGGAGATTCAGTCCTTAGCACATTTGATTTGGAAAAGTGGTCGAATCACGATCAATTGCTTTTACAGCATTTGGAATTTCCTAGAAGGGTAGACAATTTCGAAATCGAGAGAACCGCGAAAGTTGCTTATGATCTGAATTTTGAGAAACAAGAATGTTTATATATTGAAGTGTGAACGTCAAGTCCAATTCCAAATAACAAAATCGTAAGACTTTGACACTAGATAGCGACCAGCCTGACTGACCAGAGCAGTATGGCTGACCAAAAATGAGTGAATCACAGAACAGAAAAAATTTGAGGCTGTTACTTTTAAGCGCATTGTTGGGAAGCTTCGTGTCAATTCTGGATATCAAAACTAAAGTTCGATAAGAAAACTCTGAACAAAGCTCAATTCTACATCCCACGCTATGTGGCGTTTATATCGCCGCTGGTAATGTAAAAAATGTCCAATCTGTAAGTGGCAAGAGAACGCTGATTTTTCGCGGCAAATCTCCCTCCCTCTGATTTGCTTAGGCAAAAGCCGCCGAAGAGTGTATTGCACGCGGCAAATCTCCCTCCCCCTATTTCTGCTTAGTGTAAGCATATGTGCATAGGAATGCAAACGATAAAGCTGAGTTGTGAGAACAAGATATAAGGCACAAATAAAGGATAAGTTATGTGAATAAGATCAATTGTTGCAGATATGAGGATGACACGCATTCTGCAGTATGATACATAAGCCACATCGGTGATCATAAGGGAGTATTCCAGTGTCAAGCCTCGGCTGTCCAGCTACCAAGCGGCTGACGCCGCCTTCACCCGAACCACCTGCCTTCCCTGTTCCTTCATCAGACCTCTGTGATTCATGTTTTCTTGCCAATAAATCAATTCTCATGTTACAGTATATCTGGTTCTTATACTAGGTTGTCCCAAAAGTAAACCGTATTTTTGAATTATCAAGCTGTTTTTGTTTTTCTGACAGACTTGGATTACCATTCGATAGAGCGAAGCAAGCTCTGCAAAATGACCAACAAAGGTCCGCCTAAGTCACATTCCATGTAAAGTTTAGAGCCAAAATCGGAAAAAAAATTTTCACCTGAGAATTGGATTTTCGCGAGGAAAAACCCTACGAACCCCCAACTTGGTCATTTATAGTAGGCACATAGTAGTACTCAAATAAGCTTTTGCCGAATTTTTTCCGAGCATAAAAAACGAGAAACAATTGCCCAAAAATGGCAAACTCCGCCCCCAGCCCCTCCCACATATGTCATTGTATACTACAAGCCTTACTAAGTACAACCCTAAAACCTTACCCCTGTATGTGCTCTTGTAATCGAGAAATACCAAGTTTTACATTTAAAAAAACCCGAAAAAAGTGGCATTTTGGCATTTTGGGACCCCCTTTTGTTTCTCAATTTTGAACTCCGGAAAAAATCAACCAAAACTACTTTTTGATACTACTATGTGTCTACTATATAAGGACCAAGTTGGAAGTCCGTAGGAACATTCTGGAAGGAGATCCGATTTTTAGGGTAGCTGAAAAATTTTGATTTTTGGATCCAAATTTTTTAGCGACTTAGGCAGTTCTTTGGTGGTCATTTTGTAAAGCTTGCTTCGCTCTATCGAAAGGTACCCCCAGTCTGCCAGAATAACAAGAACAGTTTGATTTATGCAAAAATATGGTTTACTTTTGGGACAACCTAATAATAAACGATGCTATCCCCACTGTCTTGCTACCGTTGAGTAAGCCGCTTCCACGGCGCCACGTTCACTGGTACCAGCTGAGTGGTTTCGATCCATGGAAGCAAGGTAGGTTTGGTTCGATTTTCTAGTGACAATCCTGTTGGGTTCCCCACCGGAAATAATCGTGGCTGGCAGCCGAAGAAGAAAACCGCGTTTCCAGTATTTTTTCTAGTGTCGAGCAGCCGAGTTTTGATGTGACCCTGGATCCAGGTCCCATGAAAACTCTAGCTCTTGAAATGACTCAATAATGACATTTTGATGCATAACGACGGTTTTCTTTTTCCTCGAAATAAAAGTCCGGATTCTTCGAACGAAAGTTAACGTTAGTAAAGATAGTAGATCACTGTCGGCAAAAAACTGTATGTCGACAATAAACAAAGAAAGAGAGAGAAACCCAGCAGCCCCAGTTTTGTGTAAGCCGGCTAAGAAGATAAGAGAAAAGTGGATTCCCCTGCAGGGACAGAAGTGCCGAGCTGCGAACCGTTTTTTTGTACTGTTGTTTTGGGCCATAGTCATGTACAGTGAAGAGGGGCAGTAACGTTCATTTTGAGTTCAGGTGAAAAGCGCGCAGAGTAATGAAGCTGGGTTATAAAACATTTTTTTCGTATTTTAGAAGTTCTGGTTCAAAAGCCCACGTGTTGGTTCGCATATTTCTTTTTTTTCCAGTTTGATGTAGAGCTCGGCGAGATTACTACTCGAGTAAAGTATTCGTTTTTTGACATGTACGTCCCCCCGCATGCATGCCTTTCCCTCAATTGATCTAGTTCTAGCATGAGCCGGCCTGATCGCAAGCTTGATAACGCATGCCATCTTCATTCGCCTCGTCTGCGCAGGTCGCCAGCTTCAGTATTGGCGAGTCATTTTTGTTTTTTTGTTTCGTCACAATAACAATATTGTCTTCTATTTTCTCTTTTCCTTTTTGCAATATTGGTAGTGTCACAGTTGTTTGCCTCACTTTTTCTCACTTAAGCAAACAAAAGTTCTTTTTGAATTTCGCTATTCTCTTACGCTTGATCGCGTCCCCTCCGGAAATAACAGTTTTATCGCATACTATCAGAGTTTTTTTTTACTTTGAAAGTTCTCTTTACTTTTCACAGTAACTTTTTTCTTGATATTCTTAGGCTCAACACCACTCCGATTCTTTCTTTGCTCTAATTTTTTTCTGAATAACATTTGTGCTGACGCTAATGCTGCTCACTTCACCTC